GCAATCCCAGGTTTCAGCCCTGGAATTCAAGAGTAAATGATCCTAGTGAAGGTGTGTGGAGTTTAAAAACACACTGGTGCACGTTTTGTATGACATCACAAGGTGGTGTTTTCAGTTTGACAGAAGAACTCAGCCTAAATCTGCAGGGTTTGTGTGTTAAACGTGTGAAACAGAACACAAACTGTGTGTGATGAGGAAACAACATTATGACTTAAATCCCAAACAGAGTCAAATGACCTTCCATTTCATCTGTGAGTATTTTATACACAATGTTACATTTATTTTAGATTCTCACCTGATATTAAGATCCAGAATCACCTCTCTCTGATCCACCTCATGTGTGTAAGCCTTCATCCCAGTGATCCTCAGGGGCTGAAACATACAAGACACTTCACCTGTACATGTGTGTGACAGGGACACTTCACCTGTACGTGTGTGTGACAGGGACACTTCACCTGTACATGTGTGTGACAGGGACACTTCACCTGTACGTGTGTGTGACAGGGACACTTCACCTGTACGTGTGTGTGACAGGGACACTTCACCTGTACGTGTGTGTGACAGGGACACTTCACCTGTACGTGTGTGTGACAGGGACACTTCACCTGTACGTGTGTGTGACAGGGACACTTCACCTGTACGTGTGTGTGACAGGGACACTTCACCTGTACGTGTGTGTGACAGGGACACTTCACCTGTACGTGTGTGTGACAGGGACACTTCACCTGCACGTGTGTGTGACAGGGACACTTCACCTGTACATGTGTGTGTGACAGGGACACTTCACCTGTACATGTGTGTGACAGGGACACTTCACCTGTACGTGTGTGTGACAGGGACACTTCACCTGTACGTGTGTGTGACAGGGACACTTCACCTGTACGTGTGTGTGACAGGGACACTTCACCTGTACGTGTGTGTGACAGGGACACTTCACCTGCACGTGTGTGTGACAGGGACACTTCACCTGTGTGTGTGTGACAGGGACACTTCACCTGTACGTGTGTGTGACAGGGACACTTCACCTGCACGTGTGTGTGACAGGGACACTTCACCTGTACGTGTGTGTGACGTGTGTGTGACAGGGACACTTCACCTGCACGTGTGTGTGACAGGGACACTTCACCTGCACGTGTGTGTGACAGGGACACTTCACCTGTACGTGTGTGTGACAGGGACACTTCACCTGTACGTGTGTGTGTGACAGGGACACTTCACCTGTACGTGTGTGTGACAGGGACACTTCACCTGTACGTGTGTGTGTGACAGGGACACTTCACCTGTACGTGTGTGTGACAGGGACACTTCACCTGCACGTGTGTGTGACAGGGACACTTCACCTGCACGTGTGTGTGACAGGGACACTTCACCTGCACGTGTGTGTGACAGGGACACTTCACCTGCACGTGTGTGTGACAGGGACACTTCACCTGTACGTGTGTGTGACAGGGACACTTCACCTGTACGTGTGTGTGACAGGGACACTTCACCTGTACGTGTGTGTGACAGGGACACTTCACCTGTGTACGTGTGTGTGACAGGGACACTTCACCTGTACGTGTGTGTGACAGGGACACTTCACCTGTACGTGTGTGTGACAGGGACACTTCACCTGTGTGTGTGTGACAGGGACACTTCACCTGTACGTGTGTGTGACAGGGCACTTCACCTGTACGTGTGTGTGACAGGGACACTTCACCTGTACGTGTGTGTGACAGGGACACTTCACCTGTACGTGTGTGTGACAGGGACACTTCACCTGTACGTGTGTGTGACAGGGACACTTCACCTGTACGTGTGTGTGACAGGGACACTTCACCTGTACGTGTGTGTGACAGGGACACTTCACCTGTACGTGTGTGTGACAGGGACACTTCACCTGTACGTGTGTGTGACAGGGACACTTCACCTGTACGTGTGTGTGACAGGGACACTTCACCTGTGTGTGTGACAGGGACACTTCACCTGCCCGTGTGTGTGTGACACTTCACCTGCACGTGTGTGTGTGACAGGGACACACTTCACCTGCCGTGTGTGTGTGACAGGGACACTTCACCTGCCCGTGTGTGTGACAGGGACACTTCACCTGCCCGTGTGTGTGACAGGGACACTTCACCTGCATGTGTGTGTGACAGGGACACTTCACCTGTACGTCTGTGTGACAGGGACACTTCACCTGTGTGTGTGACAGGGACACTGTGTGTGTGACATGTGTGTGTGTGACAGGGACACTTCACCTGTACGTGTGTGTGACAGGGACACTGTGCGTGTGTGCATGTGGGTGAGCATACATGTATGTGTATGTGTGTGTATGTGTGTATCTGTGTGTGTAGATGTGTGCGTGTGTGTGTGTGTGTGTGTGTGTACTTACCACGTGTCCAAAGTGCACCTTGGTGAAGGTGAAGGTCTTCAGAGCGGGGTTGGACTGTCGGACAGCAGGCTGAATGTTGGTTCTTAATAATTTCTCCATAAACATTCCAAAAAAGGGCCAAGCCTGTTCCAGAACCTGACGAACCACAGAGACCACATCACTAGACTAGTACTACAGTACGTACTACAGTACGTACTACAGTACGTACTACAGTACGTACTACAGTACTGCTACTGCTGCTGCTGCTACTTCTTATACTTACACTAACTCTACATCACATGTGTACGTGTTGTGGCTTTGGTCCATCAGGGACTAAGGATGGAAATGAGCTTTGGCAACAATCGGACATATTTACAAGTCCATGTTTGTCTCTTACATGATCTTGTTTTTTAATATGCACTGCTAATAAATAACACAAATACAAACAGAACTGTACCTTCTTATAGAACTTCTACTGGAGTTTAGGCCTGGTTTAGATCTGGTTTAGACCTGCTATAATTAGCAAAGTGCTGATGTCATTGGAGCTAGGAAGACTCATGGACTTTAAGGGGAAGAATCTTGATGAGATCGAAATAGATCCAAATGGTATGTATAAAAATGCTTTAAGATGCTTGTAATGATTTGTCTCTAATGTTATGATCTAACTATATTTATTGTGATTTATAGCATTTGTATAGCGCCTTTCAAGATCCCCAAAGCACTTTACAGTTTATTATTCAGTCACTCCACACTCAGTGGTGGTAAACTACTGTAGCCACAGCTGCCCTGGGGCAGACTGACGGAAGTGTGGCTGCCAATCTGCGCCATCAGCTCCGCCAACCACCACCATCACTCATGCTCACACCACTTTCATACTAGGCAATGTGGGTGAAGTGTCTTGCCTAAGGACACAACAACAGTTTTTTTCTGCCACTGGCCCCACTGTGGCATCTGGAATTCCCAGTGGTCTCCCATCCAAGTACCACCCAGGCCCAGCCTGCTTAGCTTCTGCGATCTGACGGGATCAGACTTTTACAAGCCAGTATGGCCGTGACGATTTTGGTATCTGTTGTGAAACAGAGGTAGTCCAGGACATTGAAGATGAAATTCAGGAGGACATGGAGTCACAGCTGATGTGTATGTAAAGTTTTGTCTTGCACTATAAGATTTTATTTGATGCATATTTTGGTGCTTATTGTTGTTATCACTATTTTAGTAAAGGATGGGGATTTTGCATTGCATTGAACTTGACATCAACAAGGAGAGATCCATAAAGTCACAATCAACAGGTATGCAAAGAAAGTATCACTGGTTCTATTTGCAGCAAGTAGTAAAGGAAATCTTATTGCATAGATTTTTGTAGGCTCACTGTCCGTTTAAAATAATTTTGTTGACCTTACTAAGCTCTGAAAAGGTGCCAAAAAATTATTTAGTGGATTAAATTATGCTTCTGCATGCTTTCTAACTTTGTTAGCAAATTATTATCTGATTATTTAAAGTACAGCGTGCTCTTCCTGTGTAGTACAGGGAATTTCCTGTTTTGGGGCTGCACATTGTAATGTACTGCCTTGTACTACTTTGTAATGGAATAAATGTGGCCTTTCTCAGATTTCTGAGAAGATTACTCCCTTTAACAATATTTTACATGTAAATGACAAAGCATGATGGGTGTCAGGTGATAAGTTACTCATTAATACATTTCTTTTCAGTGATCCTGTCAGATTCATGTGATTCCTGCATGTATGGATTTTATTGTTGTCATTTTTTGTAGATAATATTCATTTGTGTGGAAAGGAGACCTTGGACATGGACCAGCAAGAAAACGAAAAGTCACAACAAACAGATATGTAAAGAAAACATCACATTTAAATGGCATCTGTTCTGTCTTCTCAATATTAAAGGATAATTCCAGTGTGAAATGAAACTGGGGTATATTTCATCATGAGGAGTTTGAATATCTGTTGGGGACAAAACTATGCTAACCTGTTGCATTCTAATCTGGATTGCTTTTAACTGATGCTTCCAAAAGGCACTTAATGAAGTTTTGATCCCTTCCAAATGCTCAACCTTGTTATCATTTTTCACAGAATCATTTTCACACTGGAATTATCATTTAATGGAAGTTGAACAGAAAGTCTTGATTAGTATAGTACACCAGCCCATATTTGATTCACTTGTGGAATGAAACTTTTTTGACCTGTGCTCAACAGGACACGGAAGCAGAGCTCAGAAGAAGAAGTGGAAGGACAATGAGGTAGATTCAGTCCAAAAGCATTTGGGTGGATTCATCCAATCCCTACGTGTCCCAGGAAAACAAGACTGTGAAAAATGCCTACAGGCGGAACCAGATGTTCTCAAAACCCGTGGCTGGCGAGCCGTAAAGTATTTTGTGAAGAACAAAATTACTGCGCTGAAACGAAAGCTTTAGCTCTTAGTTTTAAATTTTCTGACCTTCATGTTGCAGCACAGTGCAGTTAATAATGCTGTTTTGTTTATACCTGTATTATACCATTACAGGTTTTTTCTCTTTTTTGTTTTGTTGTTTCTGCCTTTAAGCAGTGTTGAATATTATGCAGTGAAGTTGCATCAATTCTTTTAGTTCTGTCTGCTTTACCAGTTGAAGTACTAAGATTACCTTAAACTGTTGCAATAAAGGTTTTAGGATTACATTTAAAGATTGCATTACCTAGTAATTATTCCATGTTGAGCTAAACCACCAGCATTGAGCTGTAAACTGAGTCTGCAGCAGATAACCTCACTCAAACACCAATGCCTCAGTTGTACTGTGTAAATATTAAGATTAGATGAGATTAGATTCAACTTTATTGTCATTACACATGTATAAATACAAGGTAATGAAAAGTGGTTTAGCATCTAATCAGAAGTGCAAGGAGCAGCAAGTGCCATATATACAGCATGTAGAGTATATACAATATAGAGAAATATACAGTATATGGTAAATGGTCACATTTTTCTATAGTGCTTTTCCACCTTCAAGGCACTCAAAGCGCTTTACAACAAGGAACCACTCACCCATTCACACACACATTCACACACCAGTGTACACAGACACTGTGGGCAAGGTGGGTTAAGTGCCTTGCCCAAGGACACAACGACAGCATTCATCTGTGGGAGCTGGAATCACACCAGCCAACCTGTGGTTCAGTGGATCTGATGCTCAACCTGTGATGTTTATGTTGAGAGCTGGATTCAAAGTCAGTGAAATGCTGTGTCCCCACCTTGCCCAATAACCTTTCTGTGTATGTGTGAAGAATCCCTCAGTCGTCCAGGTAGAATTCATGGCAAGGAGAAAATTCAGTTTGTCGAATGGACAAAAGTGAGTTTGGTTGAAGACGTGTCTCAGCTCATCCAAGCCGCTTCTTCAGTTCTGGTCAGACGCTGTGGACACTTCCTTATATCTGTCTGTAGGGAGGAGCTAACTACACTGAAACTAACACCCACTTGTTTACAGTTTGTGTTTGTTAGTTGGGCCTATTGACCTGTACAGGATGTGGAGACTAATTAACATAACAATTCATGGCCATAATGAGGCTTCCACACCTCTGGACATGACCTGACTACACCTATTGTTCTCTTGTTTGTTTTGATTTAGGTTTGAGGATGGAGTTGTAAATAGGAGACAGATGGTGTCTGAGTCTCCATTTCTGTTTAGAGAAGGATTCTCTTAACAAAAATGGCTTCTTTCACTCCCCTCTCGAACCAGTTCTTTTCTCTGGCTAAAATCTGTACCTCGCTGTCCTCAAATGAGTGGCCCGTGGCTTTTAAGTGGAGATGTACAGAAGACTGAGGTCCTGTGTTGCTCTCTCGTCTGTGTTGGTTCATCCTCTTGTGAAGTAGCTGTTTAGTTTCTCCAGTGTAGTGTTCACTGCAGTCTTCACTACACTGAATGGAGTAGAGCACATTGCTTTGTTTGTGGCTCGGTGTTTTGTCCTTGGGGTGGACCAGTTTCTGTCTTAGAGTGTTCGTAGGTTTGAAATAGACCGGGATCTCATGTTGTCTGAAGATCCTCTGTGGTTTTTCAGAAACACCAGCCATGTACGGAATAGTTACCCCTCTTCTCCTGGGTTCTGATTCTCTGTTGTCCTGTGTTTTTAGTTCTCTTGGTTTTGTTAAAGGCCCATTTTGGATATCCGCAAACAGAGAGGACTTTCTGCACATGTTCTTCTTTCTCCTTTCCCTCTGTGCTTGTGGGGTCCACTTGAGCCCTGTGTTGTAGTGTCCGAATAACTCCAAGTTGGTGCTGCAGTGGGTGGTGAGACTCAAAAAGCAGGTACTGGTCTGTGTGTGTGTTCTTCCTGAAGACCTCAATCTGGGGTCGTCTTCTCCCATTCTTACTGCACAATCTAAGAAAGCCAATGTGTTGGTCTTGGCATCTTCCCGGGTGAATTTGATGTTAGGATCTACAGCATTAATGTGCATGAGTTTAGTCCCAAAGGAGATGGGCCAGAAGATTAAGGACTTCATTAGCCACAGGACAGTTAAGACAACACCACAAAAAAGAGCGCCACATAAAGAAATTTACACAACTCCAAAATCAAAACCAAACTAACCCCAGGGATCGGAGTGACAAAAGGAAGGAGGATAAACCAAGTCAACTTGGCCACAAGGAATGCTGGGTGAAAAATCTTTCCAACCGAGAGCTCACCAGGACTGAGAAAGAAGTACTTTCCAAAGGACTGAATTTCTCTGTAACTTCTAACAGCATCCCCACGGTCGACTACATCATAGCAGCAGAAACCACCATTAGGAACAACAAACTCACAGAGACAGAAGCTGGAGACCTTAGACTGAAATTAACGGCGGCACTGAGCAATGCCAAACCTCCTCCCTCCAACATAACATCAGAAGAAAGGGAGGCCATTATTGCTCTTGAGAAGGATCACAGCATCAACATTCTGCCAGCAGACAAAGGGAGATGCACTGTGATTCTTAACGCAATTGATTATGAGGCTAAAGTTAACAGCCTGCTCTGTGACATTGCTACCTATGAATTACTAAAACGACATCCCACCAGTGGATACAGAAAGAAGATCATTGACTGCTTGCAGAAGTTGGAGAAGGAAGAAGTCATCGATCGACAGATGTATTATAGACTGTATCCTGGTGATTCCGTTCCGTGTATATATGGC